GCCCGTATTTAATGAACTTTTAGATGCACAATGATGTCAAAAAAGGTCCTGAAACAAGAATGCACAGTCTGGCAAAAAATCAGGGGCTCATGTCACATACCCTAGCATGTACTCTTGAAGTTGTACCCAAACTTTCTGGCCGTGTAGCCTTCTCTTGGTTTCACCTGTTGGGCTGTTGCCCCTATATATATATATATATATGCTATAATATGTATATATTTAATATATCATCTATGGCCCACTGCGGAGGCAAAACACATACACAAGCTGACAGGAGGTACAGTTGAAAGTGTTTTTTGCCGGGGCCCTGGCTTTAGCAGAGCTTTGCTGCAGCTTCGCAGCAATGCGGGCATCCTGCACCGCCTGTGCGTTGAGATTCCTTTGTGCCCCCTCCCCCCCAAAAAAAAACAAAACACAAAGGGGTGCTCCCTGGGATTCAGTTTTAGCGCTGCAACGCTCAGAAAGCACTGCGGATACCATGGTTTTGTGCATGTGGCGGTGCTGGCAACACACCGTAAAACACAGTGTTGTGTAGCATTGTTCATGGTAAAAACACATCCCCACCAACACCCGGTCTCAAAAACAAAAAACGGGAAGAGGCTGTGTGCGCGGAAGTGTTCTGCCCAATCACGTCATGCATGTCAGCACTGGTGCAATCGTTCTTTGTTCCGCTACGCGAAAGGCGAGTGCAACCGCTTGCTCAATGGTAAGCGTTTCCCTTGTCATGACCTTCATGGACAAGCACCGTGGTTTATTTGTGTCTTTCTCGCAGTTTAGTCCAAAGACCAAGTTCTGCCAAGGTGCTTCAGCAAATCTGTCCCGTATCATATGGGTGTGTCTTCTTACAAGACCCTCCAACAATTGTGGTTTTGCTGTTGCTTTCCCTTTGAAACCGCAAAGAACAGGCAAAGACAAGCCTAGACCTATATTGCATCGCAGTTGGGCTCTTGGCATTGTCCAGCACTTGCCTTCCCAAGGACGAGTTCTTCATTTCTCTTCAAGGAGGCCCTTGGCACAGAGAACAATCCCTGATCGTTCCCACGCATACTCTTGGGCTGCTCAAAATGGGTTGGCCCATCTTACTACAAAGGGAACTAATTGGGTTGGCCAATCCTGTTCAAATTGAGCTGGCTAATCAAAATCCTGATCCTTAAAGGGCAACTACTACACAGGGGACCAACTTCCTCTGTAACCAAAGGGAAGGATAACTCCTCTGTAAGTGCACGTGGACCCAAGAAAAAGCATGCCCGTTCCCCAAAGGAGATTCCGATCCTACCACAAATGGGGGTTGATCCAAAGGTCCCTTACACGGGATTGCCATTGAGGAAAACCACAAAAATGTTATATCCCACTAAATAAATGAGAAGTTACCCATGGTCATTTGAGGACCCGGAAAATTGATCAACCCCCAAATGGGTTTGTGAGGCCGGGTGAGGTTTCGGGTTGCCTCCGGCTTTCAGCCCTTGACGCCCCGCCTCACTCCAGAACTTCATATGGCACAGCCTGGCGTGCGCCGCATCGCCCATACGCAGCCGCGCCCGCAAATACATCGATGCATAGCCTCCCTTGCCGAAAAAGGGGCCGGAAAATCAAAAGGTTAAACTTTTGGGACCTTGACTGAATATGGACCGCGGCTGAAAAGCCAAAAGGTGAAAAGGTTTGGGCAATTAAGTGGGATGTAAGATGCCTGGCACAGGCCCCTGCTCAGGCAAAAGCCGTCAGAAAACTTGGGTGGAGTTCAGGTGCGTGACATCCCACAAATTGTCAGAAGAACCAAAACAAGCGAGCTCGAGAAACGGTTAGGTCCTTAAGGATATCTGAACAGGTCCAGATTGGGTGTGTCTTGTCACATCAGCTTGGAACCATCCAAGAGTGTGTCTCACCCTCTCATCGCATACAGTGCCATGAACAACGTTGTCAAAAGCCCGTTCCACGTTTTTCGGCGGAAGCTCGACCAACCAGAATGTGCAATATTGATTCTGTTGGGAGGGGAGGCTTTTCCCGTGACCAACCGCTAGCCTCAACAGAACTGGAGTCACGCCTACATTGGGCGAGGCTCTGTACCCTTGTTAAGGTCTTGTAAAAAAGAGACAAACAGGAAAGGCACAGTTTGGTGTTCCTGCAATTTTGAGTGAAACCCACATGGCAAAAAAGGAGTCCATCGCTGCACTACACCAAAAGATCCAGGGGGTCAATTCCAGCCAGGCTTTCCAAAATTCCTCTTTCCACAAAAAACAACACCGCACCAAGGAAATGACGAGGCTTGGAAAGAACAATTGCGGAAACAAATAAGGCTAAGGCAAAAGCCCATCTAAACGTCTTAGGTCGCATCTTGAAAAAGCCTTGTTTTTGCATGGGGATGATGCCAAAAGGGGGAAGTACAGGAATGCAAGTGTTGCAGGGAGGTTGCAGGCAGCGGCTTGGATTCTGCGATGCAAAGCGTCCAGTCCTAGCAGCAACAGCAGTTTTAGACAGTGCCCTGTACCTTCAGAAATCTACGCAACAGACTGTGATTCAGCAGGGAAGGCATCACACAGAGAGGGTAGACAAAAAGGTGTTCATGATTCTAGTGCAAGTCTCGGCTTACAGCAACAAATAGACAGTGTGTGGAGCCTCATTGGAAACGTTTGACTCAATCGAGGTACAGCTGAAACTAAAAAGGTTGGGTGTCCGCTAAATCGAACAAAACCTGAATGGTCTTGTGTTGGCGACGACTTTTTTGTACTGCACTGGCTCGTCGCACCTAAAACATACAGGAATCACATCGGAGAGCAAATCTTCAGATTAGACCTCAAGCCTTTTCAAAGGAACTTTACTTGGAGTCGCTGCCATCATCAACTTACTGGCATTGCATCACACACTCCCGAAAAAAAAGGAACAAAATCCTTCCCAAATACAACCAATACAAACAAATAGGCCAGCTTGGCACATTGGCCGCATGTGCCTTGGTTCCCAAAGTTGCGTCCCAGAAGAGAAAAGAGGCCCACTCGAACAGCCCGCGACAAGTTTCTGAGACCGTTTTTCCCAGTTGAACTTCCAGCTCAATGACGCCAAGCCACGCAGCAGAGCGGTTGCCGTACAAAGCCTGAGCGAAAAATGGCGCCCTTCGGCCAGGCAAAGCTCCAAATCATGTGGATGGAGGAAATCCTCTTAGGCACCACCTAAGAAACCCTGGAGTGATGAATTTCTGGTAAATACCAACAAACAATGGTTCGATCCATGGTTTAAAACTGCAGGATGCTGTCCATCCACAGTATTGTAATCAACCCCAGTTTATTCAAGTATGGGGCTGGGGGCCCCTCCAAAAGCAGCCTGATTCCCCACTGCACAGCGCAGGGGTGGCAAATATATTGACAAATATAGGGGTTTATCGATCCGGGGTCAACATTAATACTAAGACCTGACTCATATAACTGGGTTTTTAGCAAAATGTTTCGTCATGACTAGAGGTATAGGAGTAAGAAAAACGGTTAGAAATTATTCAACACCGTACATTCGTCTCTGGTCCACGGTCATCATACCTTGAAAGAAGATGGGTATTTGGAGTGGGCAGAAGTGACGGGAGGAGCCACTCCTTTCGATGCCTTCGACAGCTTTGGTCTCTTCGCAGGTCCTCCACGGACCCCGAAGTTATCCAAGCAGCTTCCTTTGGGCATCCCAAGGACATAGCATCCCAAGGTAGCATCCCAAGGGTAGGGCATCTCAAAGTTGTCCAAGCATCCCAAAGGACACACTGTAGCCGGAACAACACCGAGCCACGTCCTTCGAATCACACAGAGACTCGTAGACAAGTTAAAACACTTTAGGCATCTCACGCGCTCTCTCCCCCTTTGTCGATTGCTTGCCTCGACAAATATGTCAGCCCGTAGAAGATACTAAGCCTAGAAAAACACAAATGGTATGTCAAAATAAAACCACCAGGAGTTGGACCGCAGGTACTAGTCCATGCCATTACCAGGGCAAACCCAGTTTGGGGTTCCCCTTGGAGTCTTCACAGACTTCGGCAGAGACTACCGCTGCAAGATCAGGTTCCAGCACCCACTTTTGGCAGATCCTTGTACTGAGACCCCTGGACCTCACCGAAATGGTCAGTTCAACTCGCTTCCCTTGAACATGACTTGAAAGAAACTCACTTCAAATCTTGGGCCATGATGTTGAACCCAGGGGAGCACACGGAGCCATGTCCACTGGTAAGAAAACAACTGACAGCCCAAGCTTTTGGTAAGGAGCACCTGTGCTCAAAGCTGGGCTACGGCGAAAAGCAAGGCAAAGCAAACGCCTACCCGAGGTCAGACCTTTTCCAGATGGGACCCGTATTTTTGGAAGATGACCCAATTGTTCAAGGGTCATGGAGACTCCAGGTGCAAAACCTTCCAAGCAAGTCTGGCTTGAGTGCGCATCTTGTCTGGGCAAATTACAATGTCGCCAAACAGAAAAAAGAAATGGACCACCAAGAAAGAAACCTTCTTCACAGACTTCCCAACTCCCCCCCCCCCCCACCCCCCGCTTTGTAATGAGATCTTGTGGTTGCCCCAAATGAAGGTGTCAATAAGGCCAGAGTCTTGTACGAGTGCCATGGACACAACTAAGAGGACCAATGGGATCTGTGTATGAGTTCCCCCCGGCTTTGGTCTGTCCAACATGGGTGTGTATATTATGAATATAAACACATAGCGGGCAACATTGGTGAGTATTGTTTTAGAGCTCTATGAGTATATCAACGCACACATCCCCAACCAGATGCTATGCCGCGTTCAAAGTCATAGCCAAAGGGGGATGCGGTTGCTTCCGTGTATCCCGCAAGTGGAGGACAGGGGCTGGAAACGCCACGCTACTTGAAAGGGGAAGAGGTACACCACTTTTAGTCGGGTTCAACCGTGCAAAAGGGAAACCCATCTTAGTTGCTGGCAGCGGACTGTCCAACAAACGCTTAAACTGCCAGATCACTCCAAGCCTTCAAAGCAGTGGCGGGGTAAAGGAGTCTGGGTGGCTCTCAGCCATCCCCTTAGCCTCTTAGCTTTTTAGTGTTTAGTGGGGACGTCCATTCAACCCACTAAAAGTTAAACTTTTAGCGGGGGAATTGAGGGACATCCCAAGGAGTTGTACAGCATTTTGGACGGCCCAGAGCCTACATCTGGGCCCCCCTAGCCGCCAGAGCGGCCGTGCTCTGTGAAGCCTCCCAAGACAAAGTTTGCTTTGGGCACAAAGTCCATGAACTTCGTTGCACTTTCGAAGGTTTGATTCTCCATTCTCTTCACCCATCGCTCTCTTTGAAAACCACATGTTTTAGGGTTTTGGCCCATTCTTTGAAGATAATGATGCCTGAAGAGAATGGGAAGGGTACAGCTAGACACTCGGGGCATTGCACGTCAGGTAGGTGGAGAATAACCATAGGTTTTGACTTATAACCCGCAAATGCCATGTCTATAAGTCTCCAGTCAGTGGGTTATAAGCAGGGCTTTCTTGCAATCTGGGTTGGTGCGTGCATCTTTGACACCCGAATTAAAACAAGTACAGTCAGTCTCATACACAAGCAGGCGAGGCTGGCATGCGCACTTCTCACACGGAGGCTGGCATGCGTATAAGAGGTCGGAAGGGATATATTAATGGTTCGACCGCTCAACTGGCAAACAGGCACGCTTACACAACTCGGGGTTGGTCCTGACGTTGATTTGGACCGGAGGGACTAATGAGCTTCAGTCCAAGGTTCCCGATTTTGGGACCGGACACCAAAGGCGCAACTGGATTTTCCCACTTTTGCAAGGTCAAAGAGTTGCCTTGATTCGCACCTTCGGATTGACTTGGTTGATGTCAAAGGGAAGCCATCAACCAATAAAAACACCTCGAGTTCCCTAAAACATGCTTCCCAAAATGACGCGTTTCACCAGGAAATCGTGTAAGACATGCTCAACATGAATCCTTTGGGCAACCCTGAACAGAGGCTGAGCGCGGAAGCCTATCAAACTGACCGCTTCATGCCCGTAAAAAATGTTGTACCCAGCACAAACTGGATTCCTGAACCCTGAGTACAGCGCCAGACAGATGTGTTTTTTCAGGTCGAACATAACAACAACTTCCCTCAATGCCGGATAACTCCGAGGAATAGAATGGATTCTGCCAAACTTAAGTCCCGGTAAGTATGCTGAATTCTCCAGCTATCCAGAACAAACACCGAAAAACAAAACAGGTTTTCCTCACAAAACACCAAACCGGGAACAGGCACACAACCGAAAACATGTCCCCCAACCCAGCTTTTTTTGTTCAAATCAAAATGAACACGGAAGAGCAGCTACAAATTTTATGTGCTCTAAAAACATCCAACACAACAGCTTTTGGGATCAAACCAAAGAAACTCCAAGAAACGCAGAAAGCAAGCAACCACCGCGAGTCCTGGCTTTTCAGCTCCAACCAAAGCCCAAGGCTCTTCCCGCAAAACACAAGGCTTCTCAGGTCCAAACAGGTCAAAAAAAAAACAGACATTGACATTGAACCCGGTGAACAAACACTGGGTATCCACCAAAGCAAAGACCCCAACCAACTGGTCGATCCTCAAAAAGAAGCAAAATCACAAGAAACAACAAATGCAAATAAAGCAACAGCTGGCCTCCCGCGTAAATTCAAAAGCAACAATAGCTACAAGACAATCACTTCCTGAGTCGATCGGTTTATTAAGTCAACTGCCTCCAGTGGCTAAAGACCCGGAACTCTTGGGGGTGAGACAACAATTCTGCAGATGTCACACGTCCGAAACCTGAAATCAGCAATAACAAATCTCCAAGTCAGGGACTTACATTCCTGAAATCGAGCGTTTTACCCCCGAATCGGTGGAATCGCTCTACAACCCGGGCTGTTCAACAGTGCGGGCCAATCCCAATCCAAAATGCCTAGCTCAAGACAAGGGACCCCCCCGTTCATAAACCGTAAGGAGTAAGGACTACCTTTGAACAGCCCATGAAAAGCGAGAATCAGATACCCCCTTGGTTCTATGAAAACGCCTTCTAGCCCTTGGGTGGATGACGTAAAACTCATTTGCCCAAAACACCTGGAGATAGAAGGTTCACCGTTCGTGTCCCTGACTATATAATTGGACCAAAGTGAAACCAAAAGGTTAAACGGTCGATTCGATTCGGGCAACCTCTCTAGGGTCAAACTTAAACCATCAGGGGCAATACCCAGGTAGTCCTTGTCTCTCTCCATTTACCAAGGTACCATTTTGGGGTTACCCTATCTCACTTGCCCAAAGGACCTGGAATTCAAGGTTTGACCCTTTGGGACCTTGACTAAACATGGGAAAACCAGAAGGTCAAATGGTCGGCCTTGGACAACTGAACTATTTGGGTGGGGCTCAAAATTACAGGTGGCTAGGGTTACGCAGATCTCAGCCTTTGGTTCCATTTACCAAGGTGCCATTTTGGTACCCTCCCACCAGCTAACATGGAACTGCACAGACTGCTTTCCCCTTACAAAAGGGGCCTTTTTGTCACTTCGATGTTAGTTGGTGGGAGGGTACACAGACTGGAAAACCCGGGTAGATGGAAACAAGGACCAACACCTCCGGTTTTCTGGTGGTTTAATTCAAACCATACACAGCTGAGCATGTTGTTTTGAGCCACATGTTTCTGAGCCACAACCATTCTTGACCGCCAAGTGAGTCATACTCAAAACCCGGTATCAAAATGGTCGTACTCCCAGAACCATGCTTCAAGAATTGAGAAGGCGGATCTCCGCAGCTGATGGCTGGGAGCATCCCTTACTGACCTTCATCAATCCCCAAGTTTTGAGCAAGTGGCTCAAGTGAGCAAAAGGGGCCACCAGCTCGGAGCCCGGCCTTCTGCAGATCCTGGGCCGCTTGTCGAAAGCTCTCCTCCGCGCTGATGCGGTTCTCCGCCTATCAAGGGGTAGGGAGTGGAAAACCCAGCATGAGGGTGTTGAAACGTTAAAAATAAGCAAAAGAGGCTCTCCAAGAAGGCATCAAACCAGGAAACGCTTCAGGAAAATTGGCCAAATACCCCAAAAACAGATCTGGGCGAGCTTCCTGGAGTGCCTGGAGATGGTTCTTTAGTTTTGTGGAGTACTGGCCCCACTACGTTCTGCCCGGCCTGGGCCGGCTCAAAACACCCCTGCATTCCACTCCAACTGCTCCAAGAGGCTTCCTGGATTCAATTCGGCGAGCAGAACGCGCTCTGTGTTCATGCTGCAGGATCAACTCAACTGGCAGCTCCTGCTCCCACCAAAAAGTCACTCTTCATCTCGTAGCTCATCATCAAAGAGGCCATTGCTTGCAGGACAACCAAAAAGCACATCAACAACATTCGCAACTCTCACCCGTGGAAGACCAGTTCTCACTTCCTGAGTGGATAGGGCCGATAGGTTTCAAAAGTAAAACCGCATTAGTATGATTTTTGTTGAGGGGTCCCCTATTTTGGCACATACACATTTGCAAGCTAGTCCAAGGAAGGGATTGAACCCCAAGCAGAAACCATCAACAACAGCTTTGTCAAGGACTATATACATTCTTTGTATCATAAGCTGATCTACCAACACATATATATATATATGTATAGCCAGGGCAGAATGAAGGAAGCCCATTAAAGCAAGTTTCACTGAGTGGAGAGTCCAAGTAACAAAACATTGGGTTTATCATTTTCTTAGGAGTGAGGAGCGGGAAGCTATTTATATTTAAGCAACAAATCAGCCCCCAAACAAATACAACAAGCCGCCAATTGCCCCACTATAGTTGGGAAATCATCAAGGTTGTGAAGGGGTTGGGGCGGGGGTGCTGTAAGCAGACACTGCATTTGTTCAGGGGGTGCCCATTTCTTCAACAAATCGGGTTCTGCGGTGGCTTCCCGTGCCCTCACCCTTTGCTTTTAACGGGCGTCCCAGACTGCTGCTCGAGAACAAAAACGGTCAGGAGTGCCAGGGTGCCTCCCAACCCCAAAACCCAAAAGCCTCAAAACCCCACACCACCCCCCACCCCCCCATCCCCGGGTTTCCCCATCCAAACGACGCGCTGTTTCGACCCACCCAATCGACGCCTCGAGCAGGCGCCGCTCGGAGGTCGCCAGCGCCTCGATCCAGGGGAGATGCTGCAAAGAACAAATACCCACTGGTTTTCTCCTGTGAACGACCCCCGATTTGAAGGATTCTTGATGTCGATTGACCTGCCCGAGATTTGACATTTGCCCTCGACGACCCGAATATACCCAGTGATAGATTCACCCCTAAAACCAACTTGTCGCTAAATGAACAACTATTCAAGTGAACGCAAAGAGTTTAAAGGAATTTGCGACAACTGCCACTAAGTTACAATCAGGCACCAGGGGCCTTCAAGCCCCACCTTAACCCTTACTTCGTAGGCGGAGGGCAAGACATTGCGCCCACCCGTAAGGGTTGAGAGGTTAATCCTATGGGCCCCTATGGGCCACACTACCCTGACCTCCCCATGCCGCTTACCAATGTTGCGCTTTGTGAATCATAAGTAGGTTGCCCAGATTGGTGTTGTTCTTCTATTCCAAATATTGCCCTTTTCTCTGGTTCTTTTGCTTTTCAGAGGTGGGTAAAAGAGCGGGTGAACAGTACTTGATAGCTGACTTAGTTTGTTGTCAAAATGGTCTTTAAGGAATATCCTCATGACTCGTGGTTATATTAGTTGGTTTCTTTGCGGCGTTTGAAGCAATGACATATATTGGGTATCGCTTCCTGGTTGAAATTCAGAAGAGACTCTGAAGGAATTGTCGGGAGAAGACCCCCAATCGTTGAGGCCGAACCGCGCTTCTGGCACAATCCAAACACGAAGCGTGACCTTCGCGCCCGGGTTTTACCTGTACAGTCCATGAAACTCAAGTGCCACATTCAACGAGATGATCACACACCAACAAGGTGTGCAAGAAGCGCCCGCATGTTTCAAAAAGAAATGCGATGTGCCATGGTTACAGTATACACTTCCCAAGCACATGGAATAGTTGCTTACGGAACAAATGGTGAGTCTTCTGCATGTCCAAATGGACCGAAAGTGCTTTTGTGGGAGTGGCGCGGCACCAGGGATTGTGAAAGCTTGCTGGTGCGCGATGCTGATTAAGTCTTCCAAGTTGCCAGCAAACCCTGATTGAAAAAAGGGACCCTTCCTTGAGGACCATTTGTGTCAGGGACCTAGCAGAACGGGAATAAGGTGCCACCGAACAACAGGTATGCGCTTCCAATGCAAAAAAACATTGCATTTCTTCCGCGGCTGCAGTCTTTATCTTCTTATACGTTTGGTCCTTAGTGTTGACATTAGAAGATACACATTTTGGCCAGTCATTTGCAAACCTGGCTCCAGGAATCTCAAAATCAGACAATGCACGCTGTACTTGTTGCACATCATTGACAAACCTATTGCGCACATGCACAGCGATTTGTTCACCCTGCCCGTAGCGCCCTAAACTCAATGATAGTTGTTTCTAGCATCATGACAGACCCCACTATCCTTGCAGCTATGCAATCCGTTGCAATCCTGCAGACCCTACTAAAATCAAAGCACTCCGCTTGGAAAATAGGACGGCGCTTGAAGGAAACTGTTCATTGGACCCGTCCGGCTTTAACACACCAGACACACCGCGCAAAGCGCACGAAGGACCCTGACAGGCAGAAGTGACAGCCCATCACACTAGCAATACTGGACAATCCTGCACCGGGCAGTTGGTAGTTGGCTTATCAAAGTTTCAACAGTCTTCACACATTCCAGCTGGTGCAGGGTTTTGCAGTATCAAATTTATATCCAGCTGCAGGAAAACGACCAGGGTTAACTGTTGACATCTGCGAAAACAAAGAGCCTACTTCAGTTACTATAGTCGGGGTTGATACTCAAGCAACCCTTGCGTGCAACTTTTAAGTAGGAACGCTTGATTGTCACCATTTACGTGGGCATTTATGCCCACCAACCATCTTGCCATTAGCCATTTGGGGATCTCGTTCTTAGGAGGGTACCCCATTTTGTGTAACCAAAGGACAACCACCATGTTTAGGCATCCCCTCAAAAACAGTTATGTCTCTCTGCGAGCAGGACTGATGTTCGACAGCGGCACACGTTCAAGAAGCTCCAGGCTTAGCCCCTGGCCTCCACTTCTTTCACTGGCAGCTTCGCCTCGCAAGTCGCAAGGCATGGCCCATGAGCATGGGGCGATTGTGAAGTCTATGCCAAAGCTCGTCAGATTAGCGCAAACAACAACAAACAAACTCAGATGCCCCGTGGATTTCCATGGGGAAAAAAGAATCGGCACCTGTTTTGGATGGTTGACGTTGGAACCCTTCCCCCCCAAAAAAAGGGTAACGCTGAAGAACAAGGAATACTGACCATCCGAAAAGACAAACGTGGGCAATTTGGTTCGTTTTCCAAGTGCATGTCTCAAGTATTGACAACTGAAGGTGTTCCGGCGTGTTCCGCTGTACTTGCAGTCCACCCTGATTGGCAAGCAGATTGTACAAAGTTATAATGGGTATGTGTTATCTTGGGTACCCTTCTCGCTTCCTGAGCGGATGGCCCAAACAAAGTTTGTTTGTTTTGTTTACCGCTATCATGGTCTTCCCAAAAAAGAGACTCAAGTCCGGAACTCGGGCTCACTCCTTCCCGGGCTTTCAACAGGATACCAAGACGAAAGCTTTGGGGGTCCTGCTTTAGTGCCCTACGTTGCCCCTAGGAGGCTTTGGGGAGGGGGGGGGCGGGGCTATCCCTGCATAAGCCCGGGAGAAGCCGCAAATTGATGAGTATACAACTAGTACGGCCATGGCCTTATTAAGGGGTTCATAAGGGATAGACCCCTCTCCCCATAGCCCCCTTCAAAGGCCATCGCCTGGTGTGCACCTGAAAATGGGGTGGAGGACATGCATGTCCTACAGACGACAACAGTGAGTCAGTGCAGTTGTGTCATCTTAAGCCCTGGTTTAACAAGACCTGTGGTTTGACCCCTCCTTTTCACAAGTGGAATCCGTCATTGTTTCCAAACTCGTGTGGCAACATCTGGACATGTTCGCGCTTTCCAGGACTTCAATGGGGATCTCAACAGTTGATTCTGCTGGCATGGACAAAAACACGCGGTGAATGGGACAGCGCAAACCGACAAAACTAAGACATGTGCTTGCCATATGGGAGCCGTGTCTTCTTGAGGTTGTTCCCCTCCAAACTGGTGGCGTTCCTTGTGGCTTTCCTTAGCCCTGGGAAGAAACTCCAAGACAAGCCACCCATTTGGAAGAGAGACCGAAGGGACCAAGTCGCGCTGATTCGGCTACGGTGAGAAAGTGTCCTAAAAGACAAGGAGGAACCCTCCAAACACAACTTGCCCTCCCTCCCGTGTTGCCATGGCACCTGACAGAGGGTTCCTTCAAGAGAACATTGATCTTGCAGGTATCCTCCCACAAATGCTATGACAGTGGGGGGAAGGGCAAATGATAGAAATGGATTTCATGGTGGCAAAGAACTATAGACATGGATTTGTCATGGTGACGAAGACATCCAAACAATCGACTCCTACGGGTGATCCTAAGGATGCCTTGATTGGGCTTTCTCGCAAATGCGCATGACAAAGACAAGCTGTCTGCTCAACCCCTCAATCTGCAGAGCTCTCAAAATTGTGGCTTGCTACTTGGATGTTAGCGGCAGCAGCAGCAGCAGCAGCAGCAGCGGACGCAAGCGAGGCAAATGCAACAAATGCAGCAAATACAACAAGTAAAGCAAACTCAGCCGCGCTGTACCCCTTGTCTTGGTGACTCAAAAAACACACCACAGTGGCAGGTACCTTTCAACCTAAGTGACATCCCAGGTAGCCTTGGGAAAGGAACGTGCTCTTGCTTGCTGCTCGCAGGTGAGTTGCCCTTGTCGCTTCAGCAACATGCCCCAATCAACTGATGGCGACTTTCCAGGAATTTGCTCCGGATCTTAAGCATTGTTGATATTCACCAAAAACATCCAAAAACGTTCATTGCACATGGAAGGTAAATGGGCGTAACTGGATCATGGCTGAATAAAAGCCCAAGGGAAGAAGGCAAACAGGCAAAAGAAACAGGGAACACCCAAGACCTATAAGACTCCCAATAGTTCATCACATTGAGCCCGAATCCGTAAGATTGAAAGCTGAATCCAATGGATTCTTTTAAACTACATCTCACCAGCAAGATTACACATAAGGAAAAAGGGACGCTATGTCACTAACGCTCCCTAGCAACCCAAGACACTCCAAAGACCTCAATGGCATAAACCATCCGTTGTTTCCTTTAGGGGATCCCAGGTTCATTCTCAAAACCGCTGCAATGTAATTCCCTCCTGAGAACCGAGCTGCAGCGTGTGCCAGCGCCACTGTGTAGCAGGCTACGGCCGTGCCTCACTTTGAGCATGGCGATGCCCTCTCGCAGGAACTGAACTGGACACCCTTCATTGGTTGGGATTGGCGGCTAGGTTAAGGCATGGCCCATCTACCCTCTACAAGAACCCAGGGGTTCAACTCCGCCAGCCGATCCAAACCACCCACTGTTTGGGCTTCCTGACCGTTTGTCTTGAAAATTAATGGTCAGAAACAATCCTGGAAATATCGAGTTCTTGTCATTGCTTCTGCCCCTTCACCAAAGATGCATCGGGCGGGAGATCTGCTTCCCATTTGCTTCAGCGCCCTGGGAAAAATGATAGATTTCCTTGAAAACCGACAGGGATACATCAACATATTCAGTTCAGCAATTGGAAGCTTTTATTTTTGTTTGGGACTGTCCCCTACGAACTTGGCTTCCTGGAGAAAAATCAGACGACACCGCTTGGTTGCCTTCGGAAAGGGCCCAAGGCTTGGCTTCTGGGGTCCTAAACTAGTCCAGAAGTCGCACCGAAGAAACCAGCTTTGTTCCCCGGCTTCATGGGGTTATACTGTGAAGGGATTTCTTCGCATCGCCTAATGAAACCCTGATTGAAACCACAAGGTCTGTTGAAATTTGCGCTGGGGATCGAATCAGAAACCAGGGTTTCTTAGCGGTGCGAAATAGATTTCGAAACCATCCACGGTGTGAAACTGAGTCAGAACATGTTGTCTGTCTGTCCCTTTCTTTGCGGCTGCCAAGTTTTGGTTTCCCCACAGGGGGTGGTTGGCTGTCCATTTTCAGATCCCCTGCTAAAAGGTGACAAACATGTGGGTTCAATGGAAATCCAAGCTTTCACCAACGAAACACAACCTTACCCCTTAAAACTCCAAGCCCTGGGGAAGTTAATCTTTTACAGACATATAGCCCATGTTACCCAAAAAGTTGAAAAGTTGTGTTTTTAAGAGGTAAGCAATTAAAAAGCAACAGAACCAACCACCTTTCACCAACGAAACACCGAACCAAAGGCCTCCAGGAACCGGATTCGGCCGCCCGGCCCAGCTGCGCGGGCTTCATGCTGAAGGCCGCGTCTCCTTTCCGCTTCTCCTCGGAGATCTGACGCCGGAGCCCATGGGGTATGGTTCACTGGATTTCCCCAAATCAAAAGTTGATCAAGTTACTGGTGGCTTCCAGTGCTGACGCTTCTGGTTCCAAAAACCACGGCCGACAAGTTTCCGTTGGAAGGCGCCTGTCTCACTCGCGACTGGAAGCGAACAAACTGAAAGCCCATCACCCAGGGGGGGTGAAAACCGAAGCGCTGCCACCAACCCCAGCGTGAAGTTTACGTTAAATTGGACATTGTTCTTGGAAAAACTTCCGGAAACCTTGGCGCCTCATTCCCGAATGTCTAGGACAGACACTTGGCATCCTGACGCATTCACAAACATGCAAAACTTGGTGCAATAAGACTTGTGCAATAGTTCTAAACCCTAAATCAAGGGATCTCCGAGATAGAGGCACCTGCATCATGGTGTCGCATGCTTCTCCGCAAATGCTAGCCATAAAATGGGCAGAGAAAATGCACGCAGGAACGTCCAAAATCAAGCTGTGAGACTGTGAATGGTGGAGACATCGGCGCCTCTAAGGAGAAACCCATGGAGTTGAAACCGTAACCTTGGACTTGGTAAATTTGCATTGGGGAAACGAATTGGGTGTCTGAACGGTTGGGCGAAATGGATTTCACAGCCATCCACAGTCAGGAGAGGGGAAGAGGGCACTTGAGGGAAGAAATAGGATGCTTGAACGAAGGAACAAGCTTTGACAATGACAGCCCAGCACAGTTGATTGTCATGTTGAAACGCAACAACTCCCAAGTTTGGAAGCCCAATCACGCCTCTTCGTCGTCGGCCATCTCTGCTGCACGAGCAGCCTGTCGATCGCCAAGTCGCACGAAGGACGGGGACAACAACAACGCGATGTTCAACACTGAGGGTACTTCAAGATCTTCAAGCTGTCGCCGCCTGGCTTCTTTCGGAGAACAGGAGCGACCATAAGTTGATGTTGACCCCAAGTTAAAAAACCATCCAAGGCCTTGTCAACAAAGGTCGTAAAGGCTGGCTCCAAAAAGACAGAACGGTTTAATTGGCTTGCATTTTGTTGGTTCCTTTTGGTGGGGGGGGGGAGGGGGGAGGGGGGAGGGGGGTATGTAAGAAACCTCAGGGTGATTCCCCCTGAACCAACGGACCCAGCTAAAAGCCATTGAGTCCCCTCACCCCATTGAGGACCCTCGGACATGGGGAAATCCGAGGATCTATGCCCACACACTTTCAGCGCCAATCCAATCCCCACCAAGTGAAACCATTGAACGCCCCAGGTTTGTTGGTATTTGCCGGGAATCCTTGGGTGTCTTAGGTAACGGATTTCGTCCACAGGGCAACGAAATCCAACGCAACGAGAGATTTTGCCCAAAACCCTCCAGGGCGCGCAGAAAAGAAACACACACAAAAAAGAGTTAAGCAGCGGCCCATTGACCTGGCACTTAGCTCCCAGACCTCTGGTCATGAGACAAGGGGCCAGTGCCCAGAGTTGGCCAAACCATCCCTCAAAATGGGTGGAAAACTAGGAATTGCCTTTTGCGCTGGCGTAAGCTTTGTTCTGCTGCTTTCCGGAGGCACGTCCAAATTTGCAGCCTCAAAGATTGTGGATTTGGCCGCTTTTTCTTCTCCCGCCGCTGAACGCTATGGAGTCGATGGGCCCAGAGAGGCTCTGGTTGGCCGGGGCTGCAGGAGCCCCGCCACCCGGTGTCTTGTTGCCCCGAACCGCTCCAAAGAAAACCCCACCCCCCTGACCCCACCCCACCCCTGCCCCAAGACGGCCTGCAGGAGGCCTTCCAGGTTTGCCAGGCATGGTTCCAGCCTAGGCTGGGCTCCCTCCTTTGGGACGTTGGTACCCCCGTTTTTGTGGCTGTTCAAGGAAAACACGACAGGAAAACACCTTTTGCCAACTTGTTTTTAAGCAGGAATCGGGACCCTCCAGCCAGGTTTTTTCGATGGACAACGTAAAGGGTTTTAATTCAAAAAAAACACCCAATTGTTGCTGCTCACCCATGTGCGAACTGTACCCATTGGTTGGGTGTTTTGACTGTCGGGCCGTACCTTCCTCAATCGCAGGAACCTTGTGGCAGTTTCATCAGTACTTTCCATTTCCATTACTGAAGCAGCATTTGCTGAAATGTTTCTGAGGACTTTGGCGAATGGATATTACCCCTGCACTTTCTTTACAGGAATGGGAGAATGTAAAATCATCATGGAATCGTGCTACAGGTATACGCCAATTGACTCTAGCTGAGCAATCTTTTCTTGAGCAGCCAGTCACTTTCCTTACTGCTTTCTTGAGTCAAAGGCTGATTGTATAGGTTTGTATATGAACCCATTGATTTTGGACCCTTTGTTTCCAACATGGAAGGAAACCAAACTAATCTTCTACCCATGTGGCTTATGCATCCTTTGGCTCGGAGCAGCAGTGGTTTTGGGGCCTCCCTACTTTTAGGACCTTGGCGACAGAAACGTGTGAAAGTACACGGGGGCCTGAGCTAGCAGGAAGCACTTCAAATTAAATGACTGTGTCTTCCATGACCTATTGGCGGCTTATGATAGTTGGAGGATTCCGCGGCCTTCCCGGGCATACATCGCATACCGCAGCACCCTGAATCTGCAACCCAAGCGAGGCCAAAGGAATCTGAGACTGCTAGAATGTTCGGCATCTTCCTGCTCGGCAGGCTGCGTGTCAAGCCATGGGACAGCCTCTCTTTAAAAAAACGTCACAACAAATCAGCGCCTTGCACTGCCTTGCCAGCCACCGCCACCGGCACCACCACCACCACCACCACCAGCACCACCAAGCAAACAACAAACAACGACCAACAAGCAACAAGCAGCAGAAAACAGCCAACAGCCAACAGCCAACAGCCAACAGCCAACGACCAACCACCAACAACCAACAATCAACAACCAACAACCCACGACCCACGACCCACGACCCACGACCCACGACCCACAACACACAACCCACGACCCACGACCCAGGACCCACGACCCACGACCAACGACCCAAGACCCACGACCCACGACCCACGACCCACAACCCACAACCCACAACCAACAACCAACAACCAACAACAATCACAACAACCACAACAACCACAAAAACCTCAACAACCACAACCACCACAACAACCACAACAACAACAACAACAACAACAACAACAACAACAACAACAACAACAACAACAACAACAACAACAACAACAACAACAACAACAACAACAACCAACAACCAACAACCACACAACAACAACAACAACAACAACAACAACAACAACAACAACAACAACAACAACAACAACAACAACAACAACCAACAACCAACAACCAACAACCAACAACCAACAACCAACAACCAACAACCAACAACCAACAACCAACAACCAACAACCAACAACCAACAACCAACAACAACAACAACAACAACAACAACAACAACAACAACAACACAACAACAACAACAACAAACAAATAACAGCAGCAGCAGCAGCAGCAGCAGCAGCAGCAGCAGCCACGACCACCACCACCACCACCACCACCACCACCACCACCACCAACAACAACAACAACAACAACAACAACAACAACAACAACAACAGCAGCAGCAGCAGCAACCACCACCGCCACCACCACCACCACCACCAACAACAACAACAATCGCAACCAACAACCAACAACCAACAACCAACAACAAACAAGAACCAAGGAACAAGAAACAAGAGACAATGAACAAGAAAGAAGAAACAATAAACAAGAAACACGAAACAAGAAACAAGAAACAAGAGACAAGAGACAAGAGACAATAAACAATAAACAAGAAACAAGAAACAATAAACAAGAAACCAGAAACAGTAAAAAAGAAACAATAAACAAGAAACAAGAAACACGAAACAAGAAACAATAAACAAGAAACAAGAAACAAGAAACTATCAACAAACTAGACCACGGTTGGCCCGAAAGCAGAACATCGCAAGCGAGGTCGGCCCAACGCTGCAGGATGCGTTCTTTTTCCCTACACGAAGCATTCGTGAAGCAAGCGCGAGACAGCACCAGGCAAGGTGCTCTGCGCAAACTGGTCGGTGCAAGTTGGTCTGCGCAAGTTGCTCTACGCAAGTTGCACTGTGCAAGTTGCTCTGCGCAAGTTGCTCCGTGCAAGTTGCTCCGGCAAGTTGGTCCCTGCAAGTGGCTCCCTGCAAGTTGCTCTGTGCAAATTGCGCTCCCTGCAAGTTGCTCTGTGCAAGCTGCTCTGTGCAAGTTGCTCTGTGCAAGTTGCTCTGCGTAAGTTGCTCTGCGCAAGTTGCTCTAGGCAAGGCGCTCTGCGCAAACTGGTCGGTGCAAGTTGGTCTGCGCAAGTTGCTCTGTGCAACTTGCTCTGCACAAGTTGCTTTAAAATGCAAGTTGCATCTTGCGACGCCCGCCCGCGGACCAGGGAGGAATCGAACCCGCGACCCGCCGGTTCCGGGAGCAGGCGCGCGAACCACGAGACAACTCCCGAGGACCAGTTTGAACAACAAAAGTCGCAAAAAAACCTCGAGTTTTTGCACCTCGACCACGCTGATTCCCGCAGAGGGTTGCGAGCACCGCAGAAATCGCAAAAAACCTCGAGTTTTTGCACCTCGACCACGCCGATCCCCGCAGAGGGTTGCGCGGGCACCGCAGAAATCGCAACCGCAGAGGGTTGCGCGGGAACTTTAGAAATCGCAAAAAACCTCGAGTTTTTGCACCTCGACCACGCCGATCCCCGCAGAGGGTCGCGCGGGAACTTTAGAAATCGCAAAAACCATGGGTTTTTGCACCTCGACCACGCCGATCCCCGCAGAGGGCCGATTTTCGTGTAGTGTCGTCGGCACTACCCCGCCGCCCTAAGAAAAGATTTTAACTCCTCGCAAGTCAATTGCACTTGACTCCTTGCACTTGCAACTTGCACTTGACTCCTTGCTTGTTTCAAGGAGTCATTGCAAGGAGTCATTGCAAGGAGTCATTGCAAGGAGTCATGGCAAGGAGTCATTGCAAGGAGTCATTGCAAGGAGTCAATGCAAGGAGTCATTGCAAGGAGTCATTGCAAGGAGTCATGAGAGCCATTGCAAGTTGCAAGTCGCAAGTGCATGGAGTCAAGTGCAAGTCGCAAGTGCACGGAGTTAAGTGCAAGTTGCAAGTGCAAGGAGCCAAGTGCAAGGAGCCAAGTGCATGGAGTCAAGTGCAAGTTGCAAGTGCATGGGGTCAAGTGCAAGTTGCAAGTGCAAGGAGTCGAGTGCAAGTTGCAAGTGCAAGGAGTCAAGTGCAAGTTGCAATCCTTGCCATGACTCCTTGCAATGACTCCTTGCAATGACTCCTTGCAATGACTCCTTGCAATGACTCCTTGCAATACTCCTGCAATGACTCCTTGCAATGACTCCTTGCAATGACTCCTTGCAATGACTCCTTGCAATGACTCCTTGCAATGACTCCTTGCCATGACTCCTTGCACTTGACTCCTTGCAATGACTCCTTGCAATGACTCCTTGCAATGACTCCTTGCAATGACTCCTTGCAATGACTCCTTGCAATGACTCCTTGCAATGACTCCTTGCATGACTCCTTGCA